AGAGTAGTAAGACTGGATGCCCGTGTGCATTGTTCCACATGTAACAGAGTAGTAAGACTGGATGCCCGTGTGCATTGTTCCACATGTAACTGAGTAGTAAGACTGAATGCCTGTCTGCATTGTTCCACATGTAACAGATTAGTAAGACTGAATGCCCGTCTGCATTGTTCCACATGTAACAGAGTAGTAAAACTGAATGCCCGTCTGCATTGTTCCACATGTAACAGAGTAGTAAGACTGAATGCCCGTGTGCATTGTTCCACATGTAACAGAGTAGTAAGACTGAATGCCCGTCTGCATTGTTCCACATGTAACAGAGTAGTAAGACTGGATGCCCGTCTGCATTGTTCCACATGTAACTGAGTAGTAAGACTGGATGCCCGTATGCATTGTTCCACATGTAACAGAGTAGTAAGACTGGATGCCCGTGTGCATTGTTCCACATGTAACAGAGTAGTAAGACTTGATGCCCGTGTGCATTGTTCCACATGTAACTGAGTAGTAAGACTGGATGCCCGTCTGCATTGTTCCACATGTAACAGAGTAGTAAGACTGAATGCCCGTGTGCATTGTTCCACATGTAACTGAGTAGTAAGACTGGATGCCCGTCTGCATTGTTCCACATGTAACAGAGTAGTAAGACTGAATGCCCGTATGCATTGTTCCACATGTAACAGAGTAGTAAGACTGGATGCCCGTGTGCATTGTTTCACATGTAACTGAGTAGTAAGACTGGATGCCCGTGTGCATTGTTCCACATGTAACAGAGTAGTAAGACTGGATGCCCGTGTGCATTGTTCCACATGTAAAAAATACCTTGGCAGTTGGAAATAAAAAAAGAGTAAACTAACAGCAGGCAAAATTTTGATTTAAAAATCTACCTAAAGTATTTAAGGATCCTGACCGATGCAACAGAGTTCGTGCACTGCGCTGAGATTCTTCATACTCAGGCTTGAGTAAGAAGTAGAACAGAGCACTTATAGGTTACACCTGTGTGCCATGATGTTGATCCGTTGAATAAACAAACTTAAACATCACAGATGATTAAAAATTGTGGCTTTAATTTATCCTATTGAGTCCTTGAGATCATTTGTTTTCTTTTCTCAGGTCACTGTAGGTAAATGCAATGTTCCTAAGCCAGGGATGATGGACTTGGTGGGCAAGGCTAAATGGAATGCCTGGAATGAGCTAGGATCAATGAGCCAGGTAAATGACTGTTTTCCGTGCCTGTATCTATCACTTTTTTGGAGGTAAAGGACAACACCAGAAATAGTATTCACTGGACCCCTACAAAACAGCTTAATGATTTGGACTTTGCTGTTGATATTTCTGTTCTGTACACTCATGGAATCAGTTGCAAGATTAATTACATATACCTAATGCTCGATTACAACAGCTAGGTCTGAAAATTCATAAGGGAAAGCCAAAGATAATGAGAATAAATTAGGCAAATAGTAATGTGGTTTCTTTTAATGGTATCCCACTCCAAGACATGAAGTCATACACCTATTTGGGCAGTAATGTAGATAACGTTGGGGGAACTGATAGAGATATTAAAATATTAATGCAAAAGGCAGGAAGAGCTTTCATAGGACTGGGCAATTTGTGGAGGTCAAAAGAAGTTAAAACTAATACTGCTAAACTTTTCATTTTTTAATTCGAATGTCAAATCAGCACTACTGTATGGAATAGAAACATAGAGAACAACCAAAACAATTACTGATAAACTACAAACTTTATCTGGTGCCTGCGCAGAATAGAGGAAATTCAATGGTTTGACATAATCACTGATATTGAGCTTTTGGAGAAAACTAAACAAGCTCAAGTGGACAAGAGGCAAACAAAAGATGCTGGCGTTGGATAGGACACACGTTGAAAAAACCTGAGAATGATATAACTAGAATGTCTTTACATTGGAACCCACAGGGATATAGAAATGAAGAAGGACCAAAAAACATATGGAAAAGGGAGGAAGAGATTGAAGTTAGAAAGATGGGGAGGACATGGGGAGAGCTGCATGCAATTGCGAAGGATAGAACAACTTGGCGTGAAGAAGAAATAAACGTTTAGAGAGCCTGTGGGTTTAACTTTTTCAGCCTTAAAAAGCTGGTTTTCCAGCATTTACAGGTTTTAAGATGACATGGACTCATTTGGAGCCAGATTTGTGAAATGGATGTGCATTTAGAACTCAAGTTCTGGAACAGGACCACAGTCAAGAAGTGGACAAACAACCAGAACTTTCCGCTGGAGTTTACAGCCGGTGAACGTTAACTCTTTGAGTCCCAAGGAACACATCATACGTTCATAGGGTTCTACCTAGAAGCCCAATGAACGCAAGATGCACCGATTTTATGACTCTATTTACTACGCCTGGGCCTGTGATGCTAAACCCCCTGGGACTCAAAGAGTTAAGAAAAAAAAAAAGAAGCATAAATTAGAAAAGTCTGTTTTTCATGCTAGTCTGTCTGCATTGGCATTATAACATTTAAAATAATAAAATCCGTAGAAAATTATTTCAGATATTTTCACAAAGGTCTTGAGAAGTTGCACACATGTGCAACTGCTGATTGTTGCAACTACTTGTCAAGGACCTGATATCTATATTATTGAACTAGGGCTCGCTGTACGGCCCTATGACAGACAAACTATACCAAAACACACTCAACACATACACAAATGAAGCACACACATCATCTTTAATGACCAAAGAACAATGTAGCCTAAAACAACCTCTACAGTTATGGACAGTCCCCTAATCCGGAACGCTCGGGCAGTGGCGGCAGTTATATTTACCTATCCACCCCGGGCCATTCCCATGGATGAACCCAAGGACACGATTCCACCTCCTGTAGTGCAGCGCCAACTAGGCTACGATCTTCGCCATGCGAGACTCAGTGGCACACGCAGGGTGAGTGGTTCAAGTATTAGCGGACAATGTCAACGACAGCACAAGATGCAGATAACCCCCAAAAATCCAGGGACAAGAACACCAACCTAAACATGGTACAACCCCAACACAACTGTCTTAGCATACTATCAGCACACGAGGAATAACAACAGCTATCCAACACATACGACGACAGCGTTAACACTACACAACCTATCTGTCAATTCCTAACAAAAAAATACAATCATGTCTCTCAAAAATCTTCATCCTCACACATCCTATTTCTCTCCTCCCGTTCAGCTCCGGTTCAAACGTGTACGTTGCACCAGTGTTCACGCATCTCGGGTTTTCCCCGTATCATCAAATCAACTGGCTGAGCGCTGGTGCACATTTTTGGTCCGTCAAACACCAACATGTAGTTACACGACGTATTGTCTATACTCTGTCCCACAGGGCTATGACACTACTACTTCCATCTACGATGAATTGTAACTTCGGTGGTGGACTGTTTGTATTGACACTTCTGATGGCTGCCTTGTTCATATTATACATGTAAATTCTATTGGCTTTGCTGATACTGCAGTCTGTTTCTATTTTTCTCATAGTGAACAATAATGGGCATTGTATTTAGTTTTCGCTGACACAGAAATGAAGCAACTATAGGGTGACCTATTTTTCATGAAGTTGGAACTGCTATTACCTGATAAAGTTAAAATTCACTGTAATCATGGTTTCTCTTACCAGGATGATGCCCAGAAAGCATACATAGATCTTGTGAACCAGTTAGCCGGATCTGAGGCAGAGACCACTCCAGTCAACCAAGGACCTGGGGTTCAGTACGAGGGCTTGAGGATCTCCAGGGAGAACAAAATCTTCCAGATTCAGCTGAACAGACCAACCAAGAAAAATGCAATTACCTGGCAGGTAAACTGAGTCTTTTTGTGCAGTAGCAGATTTAACACTGTTGCTTCTAAATTCCTGTGTGATAAATCCCTTAACCCTTGACTTCCAGGGAATTTTTGTATTATTATGACACTTTAATGCAGTTTTTTAAATTAAAACTTGGGGTACATTCAAGGGGACATCAAGCAATTGGGGAGAAGAAAGGTGGGGAGGGGGAGGGGGGAGTATCAGGGTATTATGGGGGCATTTGTTTCCAAAAGGGTTTGTGGGGGGGGGGGGGGGGTGCTATGGGGGCATCGCCTGAAAAATGTTAAAAACCACTTCTTTAATGTAACCGCTGTACATCTATATCAGTCTGAGTGAGTACAACTAGAGAAGGGGAAATGTAAGGGGGGGGGGGATGGGGTGGGGGTGAACTGTGAGAAAGAGAAATGTGTGTGTGTGTGTGTGTACAATCAGTAGGCAGGCCAAACAATTTTTAGAGGCCTCAGAGATGTGGTTTTACAGAAGAATGCTTAGAATACCTTGGACAGCCAAAAAGAGCAACCAAGAGTTTTTTAAAGAGGCGGGAGCCCGAAGACAACTTATCACAGACATCAGAAGGAGACAGTCATAATTTTTCGGCCATGTTATGAGAAAAGGCAAAATAGAACATGTTGTGACCACTGGAAAGATTTGTGGAAGGAGGGACAGAGGAAGACAATAAGAGAAGATGCTTGAAAGTCTTGTTGCATGGCATGGAGGTGTGTTGGCACACAAACTGATAAATGCTGCAGGAGATCGCAGATTATGGAGAGGTATGATCGCCCATGCCAGTCAGCAAGGCACCTGATGATGATTATGGTGTGTGTGTGTGAAAGAGAGAGAGAGAGAAAGAGAGAGGGAGAGAGAGAGAGAAAGAGAGGAAAACACTTGCAGCCAATTTTAATTATGGATTTTGCAGCTTATTGATCAATGAAAGCACCGGGCTATGAAATTCTAAAAAGCAGTGTACCGTACTTTATATTCTTTTCTGTTTCCTCTTTTTCTTCTTTCTCCTCCTACACCATCTCCAGTACCTCATTAAAGTATCCGGGTGGAGTTAGTGGTCAGGATCTTTTGTGCATTCTTCCTAATGCCTTTATGTTATGATGTCAGAACTTACAAATATGTAAATATTGACAATGATTAATGAAATACATTATACAAAACAATACTTTTCTCCTTACAGATGTACATTGACATTGGCAAAGCTCTAAAAGAGGCAGCAGAAGATGATGCTTACAGTCTAGCAGTCTTAACAGGTATCTATATATACACACACATACACACGCATACACACACACTCACAAACACACATATATAAATAAATCAGTGTGACTGCTCGGATTTATGTAATGATTGATTGTTTGATTCATTTTTGTCCAGACTGAGTTTTGTGTGTGTGTGACTTTCTTTGATTAGATTAAATTGCATCCGATTTGATCTCGTAAGGTTTGGTCCTTCTCAGGCTGGTAACTGACTGCTTGCACAAAGCAGGCTCCTTAAAGAGGTGACCCCAGCACCCCCCCACCCCCACCCTGTCTCCAGAACACATGAACCCATACACTAAAAAAGTGATGCAGTCTACCTTCAGAACATGAAGCAGATACTTAACAACCCATTTGCCTCATTTTCTGGACAACCCACTACTTCCTAACTTTCATGTTGCCTTCTACTTCTTCGTTCGTAACTGATTAAAATCTTTCCGTCTTTCCAGACAATAGTGTTATAACAAGACCCACAGCATTAAGAAAAGTCTTCCACAATTATATTTTAGGATTTTGGGACCATTGTTTAACAAGCATGTTGAAAAGGGCAATTAATTAAGGATTTGCTGAAGCATAGATACTGTAGCCTGTTTGTAAACCACAGTACAGTCAGCTAACTGCTGTTTTAAGTGTGAACATCTACAAATATACTCTTTCAGTCCCTGGTGGATGCTGCTTTTCTCATTCTGTCCAAAGCACTTATTACCTAAGTAACAAATGTTTCTTCAAAACTGCATTGTGAGACAGATTTTTTCCCACCACTGACCTTGGCTCCCAGATTGACCTGGCCTAAAATGGGAGGTAGAGGTGACCAGTGTGGTGTTGACTACATCACTCACCTAGTGTCGACGATTGATCTTTAACATATGGCTCCAGCATCATGTACCCTGTGCACTACTGGCATTAAAAAAAAGCATCTTTTACCATATTTTGTTCAAAAATTGTTTGGTTGTGAATGACATTTAGAAAAAATGTCATGAGAATGAGTGATTTAAAGCAACAGATGGGGCAGAGAGATTCATGTATAACTAAAGAGGAATTTAGAGTTAACCCTGCTGCACTGAGAAGACTAAATGTAGTCACTGTGCAGTGTTTAATCGGCCAAGATATAAATATCATCATCATCATCATGTGACCTGCCAATTGGCCTAGGTGCTCATGCATCTGCACAGATCACAATCTCTGGTTGCCTGGAACATCTCTCTTGATGATATCCACCTCATGCCATCGTTTCAGCCCATCCAGCATCATCTCTTTTGGTCTGCCTCTACCCCTTTTTCCACTTATCTTTCCAGTTGTCTTGATGTTCTCTAATGTCTCTCTTTTTATTACATGGCCAAAGAAAAGTGATTGATATACATAAAGTAGCCTAAAATAGCATTTAGGAGGCTTTCCTTTTGACCAAGTTCATGTGAAATTTTCCCATGAACCTCAGTGATAGAGGTCACAGAGTCACGACATGAGTCATCCAATACATATGGTATTTCTTAGGCCTAGACAATTATTCCATTTAATGCTTCACACTGTTCATGTGTATTGATTATCCTTTTTATATATCTTTACATATTTTTTAAATGTACATAAACACATCTTTAAGACATTTATTAGTGACCTTTTTTTTAAAGGTTTGTAGTCCCATTTTATTTAAGCATTTGCAGGATGAAAGAGTTAAGTAAAGATGTAAGAAGAGCTCACATGGTGAGTCGCTCAATATTAAATAACTTTATAGATAAGTGAACAGCAGCTTTGAATGTTGGATGTGTTACAGGCACTGGTGACTATTATTGCAGCGGCAACGATTTATCAAACTTCACAAATGTCAAACCTGACCAGATAGCCCAGATGGCAAGTACTGCCAGAGGTGTCCTAGAGTAAGTATTACATTTGTATGCATAGAAGATGCACTGATGAAATTAAAGCTAGCATCCAGGTACTGAACTTCCTTAGAGTTAGCACCAAGCTGATTTACTCTCTCAGAGTTAGGGCTGAGCGATGTACTTCCTGATAGCTAAAACCAAGCCAGCAAACTTCCTCAAAGCAAGCACTGAGTCATTATACTTCCTAAAAGCTAGGGCTGAGCAAATGTGCTTTCTCAAAGCTTGGAATCAGCCAGTCTACTTCGTCAAAGATACAGCTGTCAAAGCTAAGGCTGAGTCAATCTACTTCCTTACAACTAGGACTGAGCCAGTCTACTTCCTCACAGCTAGTACAGCCAGTCTACTTCCTCACAGCTAGGACTGAGCCAGTCTGCTTCCTCACAGCCAGGACTGAGCCAGTCTACTTCCTCACAGCCAAGACTGAGGCAGTCTACTTCCTCACAGCCAGGACTGAGCCAGTCCACTTCCTGACTGTCAGGACTGAGCCAGTCTACTTCCTCACAGCCAGGACTGAGCCAGTCTACTTCCTCACAGCCAGGACTGAGGCAGTCTACTTCCTCACAGCCAGGACTGAGGCAGTCTACTTCCTCACAGCCAGGACTGAGCCAGTCTACTTCCTCACAGCCAGGACTGAGCCAGTCTACTTCCTCACAGCCAGGACTGAGCCAGTCTACTTCCTCACAGCCAAGACTGAGGCAGTCTACTTCCTCACAGCCAGGACTGAGCCAGTCTACTTTTTCACAGCCAAGACTGAGGCAGTCTACTTCCTCACAGCCAGGACTGAGCCAGTCTACTTCCTGACTGTCAGGACTGAGCCAGTCTACTTCCTCACAGCCAGGACTGCGGCAATCTACTTCCTGAATGCTAGGGCACAGCTGAGTTACTTTCTTAAATATAGGGCTGAACCGATGAATTTTCTTGAAGCTAGACACTTGGTTCTGGAACAAGACTGCAGTCCAAAAGTGGATGAACAACCAGAACTTACCGCCAGAGTTAACAGCAGGTGAACACGACAAAGAAGAAGAAGAAGACTTCCTGAAAGATGAGCAAAGAGCAGAAGATTACAGTTTGAGGGGGCGGGAGGGGGGGGGGGGAATGACTGCTTCCCTACAATGCATTTTGTAAATGGAGACTAAGTAGGGATTTACTCAAATAGGCCGAAAGACACAGATGTTGAGACTTTGCTGTAAACAACAGCACAATGTGCAGAATGCTATTTCAGGGATAAAAACAGAGGAAGAAATATCAGTCTGATAAATGATTGAAGTTTATAATATGGTTGTTAATTCTCAAATCATTATTCAATATTTTGAATTGGAATGTACACAATTTAAGAAAATGTTACATAATTACATTTGCAATAAATATTTAAAAGACATTGCAGACAAGAAGAAGAAACAAAACACAACATCAAGAAGCATGTGACATGGAAGTAATTACATTGAGGCATCACTGTATTATGCAAATATATGAGACAAAAATACTCAAGAGTATGAAATGACACATGCTCCAAATCTTGAGTATAATTTTATTTGATATTTTCATAGAGTTTGTAAATGTTTCGATTGATTTCTTGACATCATTGGTATCTATAGTGAATGGGCACTGATTAAATGCCATTTCTTTTGACATTTTCAGAGAGTTTGTGAATGTTTTCATTGATTTCCCCAAGCCACTGATCTCTCTAGTGAATGGACCTGCTGTTGGGATCAGTGTAACAACACTTGGCCTCTGTGATGCGGTTTATTGTTCAGATCGTGTAAGAATTCTGCTAAATTGATAAAGTTAAAGTAGTCTCGTAGCAGATGTTGCCATTGGGGTGTAGAACGTCATGCTTTCAGGTGTTCTAGGCCAGGCAAAGCCAGATAAGTTTTATTTGGGGCCAAAATGTTGAAAATGGGGACTGTCACAGGCCAGATGCTAGAGCCTCAGCATAGAAAGATCATGAATGTAATACAGCTGGCAATGATTCATGGGTCACTTTCTAAGCCTCAGAGGACCAGATCTGGCCAAGAGACACCAGGTGAATAGCCCTGTTCTAGGCTATGACACATGAGATTGTGTGGCCAGTTCTTTTCCTTTCACAGAAAATTACTACTAATATTTGTGTCACATATCACTCCTGTCGCGTGCCTAATGTAAGGATTCCTCCTTCAGAACCAACAGCACTCAGAGATAATTATGTTGAGTCGTTTGGCTCGTATTGGTCTAAGGGATTCCCCGTGGCCAATATACGCTCAACTTATCTCTGGAGTAGGGCAACTCAAGTATTGGCACTACAAAATATATCAGTATATAAATACAATATTTCTAGGCACACTTGGCTGGACACCCCCACTACTTACTAAAGAAAGCCCCCAGGTTATGATAGTTCATTATCATAACCATGTTAACACATATAATGAAGATACATACACATACAACTGCTAAACACTTAAGAAGGTGACATAGAGAAACCTAAGTCAGCCATGAAAATGAATGCATGTATTTAGTATAATATCTGTACATAAAAAATTGAAGTGAATTCCAGCTATCAGTGAAAGAATCTCAGCACTAATGTCTAGATCCCAAGGAAACTATACAGACAGCCGGTCCTGGAGGTGACTATATGTCATCATTGGAAACAAATGAGCTGTGAGGAAAACAACAGCACATGAAGCATCAGACTTAGCTTCTATCCTTTCTGTCTATGATGCCTCCTTCAGCTCCAGATGATTCGACTGTCTTTGATTCTGGAAATTCTGCTCCACTGGATCAAATAGTCAGAGAGTACCTCACCATAGAGGACACAATACTGCACTGGTACTTAGCAAGTCTCTATCACAAAATATGATACACATTATTGTTGAGCTCCCCCAAACTCTAGCACTGGTAGGATGTTTGAGGTACCATCTCCCACATGTTGGAGATGTCAGGAACCTTCACAGGTGTTAGCTGGTGGGTACAGTTAGTTTAGGGTTGTTTGGTTGGTTGATCGGTGTTGGTGGGACTGTGAAACTTCTGCCAGCTCCTCACAAAAGATACATCCCAAGCATTTGTAAAAACTGAGACATTCCAGATTGCCTTGAAAAATGAAATGATACAGGCATAGATTGACACGTCTGGACGCTAGGAAGCTGGCAAAAAGAATGGCGTCACTTAGACGCTTCAGGCGTTGGTACAAAAAGAAGTCCCTAGTATACATGAGCAAGGAGTAAATCGGTTTCCACGAAACCTCAAATAACTCCCTTAATATATCTCCAAGAGATATACATTTAAAAGTGGAGTTTAGTTAAAGTAACCAGAAAAGGTAGACATAATAATGTTGTCCAATAAAGGCCTATATATATAGATATAAGGGACTATATATTTCTGGGCGAGTCCAAGTTTGAATTTTGTGCAGATTACAGGTAAGACAGGTTATCAGCCTTACAGACCGATGCGTAATGGCTATCATTTCACGACATTTGGAATAATCTTGATCCCTATGTGGGTTCAGGAGGCTCCATTTTGGAGAACAAAGGATAGACTAACAACACTAGACAGGGTTACAAATACCAGCATTAGAGAGAAAGTTTAAATAAAACCATATCTGGATTATATTGACAGGCATTTGAGACTGCATTTGAGACTTTTTACAGTAGAACATTGGGAAGGCGATGGGGAGGAAGGCGAGAGGAAAACCAAGAAAGAGATGGAGGAATGGTGTAGCCAAAACCTACAAAAATGTGAACAAATCCATCATTCAAGCCACCTGAGAAGTGCAAGTCAAAAACACAAAACCACAACACTAGGCTACAACCTGGTATCAGTGAGATGACAGAAGAAGAAGAAGAAGAAGAAGACAAGCATTACATAGGAACTCGGGGTCTCCGTAGTAAAGTGTCAAGCCGTTTGCCTCACGCTCTGAAGGTTGCGGGTTCATTTCACGGCTGCGCCCTTCAGTTCACGAGTGCAATCTGTACAGAGACCCCTGGGGATCGCCATTGGAGCCACAGAGTTCATGCTCTGCAAGATGCTCTCGGCAGGCGGCTAATCGTTCTGTGGAGAGAGACTGAGCCATATGGGATAAAACCCTGGTGCAACGAAGTCTATCCTCTCGACTTTAATATAGGAAGGAATCAGTTAATCGTGTTGCCTGCAAAGTCGGAGTGCATATGCCTGATGGCAAGAAACCAACAGTCTGCATACAAAGAAACCAGATCTGTAAAATGGATGTGCACACAAAACTTGAGTTCTGGATCAAGTTCACATTTCGGGAGTGGACGAATAACTAGAACTTACCACCAAAGTTTACAGCGAGTCAACACTAAGATGAAGAAGAAGCCCTTTGGCAGATTGGAACTGTGTACCACCAAAGGGCGCTTGTCACAACACTTCTGCAATCCTCATTTGAACTTTGTTTATGATGAAGAGGTGTGGAACCACACTCTGTAGGGGCACAAGAACAAGGGCTCATACAAGACAAGACCTGGCTACACCTCTCCACCATCATCCTAGAAACAAGATAAGGGCCTGTATAGTGTAGACAGGAATGATGTTCCTTTCGAAGTTAGTGCATCTAAGGGACAAGGGACTAAGACTGTACACCAGTTCTGTGAAACAAATATGCACCCAAAACCTGGAACAGTGCCAAACTCCAGAAACGAAGGAATTACCAGGGCTTTCCGCCAGGAAGAAGATAATTATTTAAGGATAGTGACAAATTATTAACACTCTGGACAGATTATTGGAAAAAATAATTTCTTTTTAGAGAAATTAACTCAGAAAGACAACTGATTATCTGTAAAAGAAGTAGTTAGACCACATTATTTATCATGAAAGAGGGAAAGCTAACATACATTGTGAAAATTGAATATGTGTAACTGTGTTAGTTGAGTGATTTATTGCTGTTTCATACTGATGACCTGCAGAATATAGCGGTAATAATCTAGTTCTTGAGAACTGAGCAAAATGAAGTACAGAAAAGTAAGTTATTTGCATTAAAAAAACATTTATAATTAAATAGTGTTCTTTTCTTTCGTTACTACTAGTTTTCTTTTGTCTACGTCTTCTGTCTTCTCATTTTCTATTCCTGACTACCAGAGTATTTACTTTTTGTTCTATTACATCCCAACTGTCTGATTTCTACCTGCCTCCATCTCTTCCTTCTTTCCCACTTTCCCATTTTAAATTGTTACCTTTGTTTACTACTGTTGAACAGGCAACATTTCACACGCCCTTTTCCGCATTAGGACAGTCTCCAGAAGCTTGCTCATCTTACCTGTTTCCAAAGTTCATGGGATTTGCAAAGGTAAGCTTTTATAGAGCAATTAATTAATTGAATATTATTCTGTATTGTTTCGTCTCTTATTGTAGGGCAGCAGGTCACGAACCAAGTGTTTTGCATAAAGAATCAACTCTAGAGATTCACCCTCGATCTCTCTTAAAAAACAAAAACAAAAAACTGAAAAACATGGCCAGAATGACATGGTCTAAACATAGAAGCTGACCTTTATAATGTGAGGCATTACCTCACCACTGAGACTGTATGAGAAGAAAATACTAATTATGTTTCTTTTTTTCTTTTCTTATTTTTGTGATTGCAACCTTGATTTATATAGACAGATAAGTTCTAATAATTAAAGAACATTGTTTGCCGTCATTGCAGTGAAAGTTGAATGACTGAATTAATGAATCAAGAATTAACATCCCTGCACTCAAAACATTCTCAGAGGTGCTCCGTCCCCTTCTTCAGTAGCAAAGAAGAGTAAATATGCAAATGGTCCCAGTTGTGAAAGTTCATTATAGTGAACTGATTACTTTCTTTGGGAATATTATGTGGTGAGGATCCAGTCTCTTCATGGTGTAGTTCACATACCCTCATCGTCTGAAAATTATTGTAAAAAAAAAAAAGAGATATAAACCTTCTCGCACAGCTAATTGAGAAGAGTTTGGAGGCAGTTGAGAAATGGTTCTTGAGAAGAATGTTGCGAATACCTTGGACTACCAGAATAACTAACAATGATTGCCTGGAAATGGCTAATAAAAGTAGAACATTATATACAACAATGAGAAGGAGACAAACAAAGTTCTTTGGTCATGTGATGAGAAAAGGAGCACTGGAAAATGTTGTGACGCCTGGAAAGATCACTAGTAGAAGAGGCAGAGACTGACTAAGAGAAACAATGGTGGATGGCTTAAGACAGTGGCGTAGAGGAATATCATCAATAGAATTGATCCAGAACACCAAAGATTGAGATCTGTGGAGATGCATGAAGGCCTACGCCAGCTGGCAGAGCACCTGATGTTGATTATGATGATGATCTGCCGTGGACATCATACCCTGTTACTCAAAGAATCCAATTCCAGCCAATCTTGAATAAGTCTATAAAGGTCCTGGCTTGAGATTATTAGTTTGTGTTAGTTGCAGTTTTGAAGACTAGCAACAAATAGAACAAAGGAGAAACAATACACCCATTCATTGTTATTACCAGAAATCAGAACATTCATCAAGGGAAAATACAAGGATTTGTGGAGAGAACAAGCTAACAGTAAACATCCACAAAACCCCAAGCCAACAGTAAACATCCACAAGACCCCATCAGCAGACTCAACAGAAAACAACATACAGCAGTGTTCCATCTACAAACAGGACACTGAAGGCTCAATTACCACATGCATAAAATAAAGACTACAGTCTCCACAGTGTGCCTGTTAGACAGAAGGACCACAAATACCTGAGCACATCCGCAGACCTGCCCACTCTAACTACAACTATGAAAAGAAACCTGGCCCCAAGAGCAAATTGCGCAGAGCGAGCTGAGGGGATCCATGAAGGACCTGCAGCTGACATGCGAGTTCACAGAGGCAACCCACCTGATGGTCTGATCTGAGCATATGAAACGGAACGCAAAAAAGAAGAAGCAAAGGAAGCAGAGCTGGTGGTCACCTCTACAAGTGATGGATAGATGGAATATCTGAGACCGCCAATACTAGCATCTGCCAGACACACTCCAAGGCTCACACTAGATGCCTCTTTAAAACCTGACACCGAAAGGCAGAAAAAGGACTAGATAAAAGAAAAATAAGAAAAAAAGGAGAAGAAGGATGAAGAAGATAAGAAAAAAAGGAGAAGAAAGATGAAGAAGAATTTTCATAAGTGTCACTTCTGTGGTAGCTTTAGAGAGTAGAAGAGGGTTTTAGTAGGTAAAAACAAGCAGTCTCTTTTGTCTCTCTACCTATCTACATAACTTTGCTTCTATCGACAGTGAACTGCATTTCTGGTGATGGACTGTTTGTGTTGGTACTTCTGTCAGCTGCCTTGTCAATTTAATACATGTGTATGCTATTGACTTTGCTAAGACTGCAGTCTTTGACCCACTCCTCTCCTCGTTCAATGTTCTCCAGCATGCATACTTGTCTTATTGTGTTTTCTGCTTGAGCCATCTACGATTTCCCACTTTTCAGTCTCAGTGCGTGTGTGTGTGTGTGTGTGTGTGTGTGTGCATATGCATGCACATGCGCATGCGAGTGCACACCTACAGGTTAAAAATGTGTGATAACAGTAAAATTATAGCATTATCACTATAACTGGCACTTAGAGGCCACAGTTATCTTTGACATCTTTATTGCAGGCAAATGAGTTACTTCTCTTCAACCGCAAAATAACGGCAGCAGAAGCTAAAGAAAGAAACCTGGTTTCTGATGTCTTCCCTGATGATGTCTTTCAGATTGAGGCAGCGAATCGAATTCAACAATATTCTAAGTTTCCTCCACAAGTGGGTATTGTAAATGTCTGTTTGTGCAGAGATGCTAGCGTATACAGCCTAATGAAATTAGTAACTATAGCGACATCTAAAAACGGTTACAGAGTGTGAATGTCAGTGCTCCATTCTAATCTCAAGCAGCAAGTGAAGAGTTTCAGTTCTGATGGTACCAATAACTGTCTGATTGATCCGTCTCACCTTTTCCTTGAGAGCTGAGCGTCGTCCAGATCCCCTGGTAACTCCTTGCAGCACCATTCTTCTCAGCCTGTAATGATCTGTTTGTACCTCTGCACTGTTTACTACAACATGTAGTTTGTCATACATCAGTTCACCACCAGGTGGTGCAGAACCGGCTAGTCCATCTGCCTTCTTATTTCCCAGCTCATCAGCATACCCTGGAGAAAATATCCAAAGTTCGCTAACTACCTGGGACCTTTGAAGCAATGCCTGCCACTCTGCATGGAGCATGCCTGTCCCCACCTTTCTGAGCATGCTCTGTGAGTCAGTTACAGACATGCATGTACAGCTGATTCTCAAGCCAGCGGAAGACTGCACTGACTGCCTCCACCTCCAACAAAGGGTGAGCCACATGCAGTAGCAAAGGGTAGGCTAACTTGGTGAGAGTTTATTAAAGACCTATGATCTGTTGGTGGATAAACAGCAGAAAAAGAAGAAAAAGGCACAACTATAATATATTATTTAAAGTGAATCATAGATACAGCTTAGATTTATAACAGAAGAGGGCAAGCAAATACTGCATTTTATAAAGTGGAGAATGGTGGAATAGTATCAGTAACAATTCGAATGTTAGACTAAGCAGCTTGTAGTAGGAGCAATCAGTCAGTCATTCATTTAATTCATGCATTAATCCGTCCACCAATCTATATATGTATATATACAACCATAACTTTCCATCAGAGTTTACAGCCAGTGAACGCAAAGAAGAACAAGAAGAACAAGAAGGAGAAGTATAATAATAATAAGAAGAAGAAAAGAAGAAGAAGAAATCAATTACCAGCAGACAGGAAACAACAAAAAGCAATGATGTACAGACCAAGTGTGAATGGAATGAGAGGCCAAGCATGCAAAGGACAGAGGGAGGGAATAAAAGGCTCCTTGGAAACCACCATTTACAAAGCACACAAATGTATATATATATATATATAGTCTAGGCTAAGTGTAAGTTTTGCAGCATAACTAATGTTCATAACGCAACATCGTATAGAAAACATTGACAGCGTACTTTTTCCACAGAAAATAAAATAAAGAATTTAGTTGTCCTTTAAACCAGGTTTGTTTTTTCTTCAGAGCATGAGGCCCTAAACTTTAGTTCTGAACTGCATTTTGTTTCTTTTACAGAGTATGAGGCTGTCCAAGGTTCTTAACCGTAGCCCTGAACTGAAAATCCTGAAAGAGGTCAACAGGGAAGAATGTAAACTTCTAGAAGAGAGGTGGCAGTCGAAGGAATGTATGAATGCACTTGTAGCTTTCTTTTCTAGAAAGTCTTAATTTGCCGAAGTTTTCTGTTGCCGCATTATATATGGTTGTCTTATCTCATCTTGATCTGTTTATGTCTTGCAGTGTTGGTATGAAGTCTACACTGAAGGATACTGCCCGTTTGTGTGCTTCGTAAATGTTGGTTTCCAGGGAGCCTTTTATTCCCTCCCTCTGTCATGGGCATGCTTGGCCTCTCATTCCATTCACACTTGGTCTGTACATCATTGCTTTTTGTGGTATCTTGTCTGCTGGTAATTGATTTCTTCTTCTTCTCCTCCTCTTCTTCTTCTTCTTCTTCTTCTTCTTCTTCTTCTTCTTCTTCTTCTTCTTCTTCTTCTTCTTCTCCTTCTTCTTCCTCTCCTTCTTCTTCCTCCTCTTCCTCCTCCTTCTTCTTTTTTTTTGGGGCCGTTCACTGACTGTAAACTCTGGTGGAAAGTTCTGGTTGTTCATCCATTTCTGGACTTCAGTCTTGTTCCAGAACTTGAGTTGTGCATGCACATCTGTTTTACAGATCTGCCTTATTTGTATACAGACTGTTGGTTCCTCACTCTCAGGAAGGCGCACTCTGACTTTAAAGAAAACACTACTAATTAGTCATCTTTTATGACACGCTTATTAGGAGGGTAGTGTGTGTATTCCCCCCCCCCCCCCCCTGCACAGTGCTGCCTCGGAACACACACAGGAAGGTAATTGATTGAAACAGCCAAGCCACTTTACTTATTGTGTTTTCTATTGAAATCTAGTACTGCTTTTACCCCTCTTTCTTTAGAATGTCATCATTTATGATCTGCCTTCTCAATATGATTAGGGCTCTTCCAAGGAACCTTATTGAATTTTTCTTCTTCTTTGAGCCTTCTGTCAGAAAACTTATATCAAGAGGCAGGTAGCCTTTATAAAAGCTATTATACAGTCCATATCTCCTTGTGGAACATATTGCTTTATTTTCATTGTGGTTGGAACAGGCAAGATTGTATCTTTGCTGGCAGCATACAGTTGACAGTGCTGGAGCACATGCTCCGCAATTTCTGGTTCCAAAATGCAGGGCCATGTCTCTGTGTTTCTTACACTGAACAATTTGAACATATGTTGACAGTATGTTGTGCCCTTTCATTAGTCTGAATATAATGCATTCTCCCTCTCTAGAGTGGTGATGAAGCGAGTTTTGAAGTATGAACTTGGTGAGTATATCTAGCCACCTTTCTTGGATGCTAGACTGGGCTAATGTCTTATTCTCTTGGTGGGTCAAGTCACTGTTTCATTGTACCATGTCACTGCCGCTTCTGGCTAATCTGTCCACTATTTCATTGCTGCCAAGCCACAAGGACCTGGTATACACAAATGCAGTACAGGTTGCAGGGAATTCTTTTTCTGTCATTGTCCAGTCTCTGGTGGCACAAAACAGAGAATAAGCTTTGGGTGGGTGTTGGTGTGAAACCTGGCAGCAGACATCTAATAAATGTAGAGCACATACATGTGTTTGTTAGGGAAGTAAAGATGGTTGGTGTTGGTGTTGACAGTGGTATCGAGAGCTGACCGTTGAGAAAGCAAACTACTGAATGTAAAATTGCCCAGTGAAATTGCAAACAGCCAGATAATACTGCAGTTTGGTTCTGCAACATCCTGTAAGAAACATGCACTAGCTTTTTTATTTTTATTGTAATAGAACACGTTTGAGACTTGTTGACAATTTCCTGAATGTCTGACTGCTTGAACTTATCAAAGAAGCTATCAAAGAAGCTTTTGTGTCTTCTGTGAATGTGATTTTAATGTGCCATGACATTGAACTCTGTAACCTGATATTGAACTCTGTAACTTGACATTGAACTCTGTAACTTGACATTGAACTCTGTAACATGACATTGAACTCTGTAACATGACATTGAACTCTGTAAACTGACATTGAACTCTGTAAACTGACATTGAACTCTGTAACCAACAAATAAATATTTTAAATAAAATGTATTTTCCGTGGCATATTGTTTGTGTTGATGGTAATTTCGTGGAAATTTCGGGCACGTAACAGACACCTGATCCAGTTTTATTGTATTATATATATGATGACCTTGTTTTAGATTGTAGCTCAGGGTCATACCTAGCCAGTGAGGAAACCCATGCAAGGATTCATGCTGCACAGAATACTCAAGGCAGAAGAGATCAATGAGGGGAAAAAAACACACAAGAACTTTGTGATAGTTGTAAACCAGAGATTCAGAAATAATGTCATAACATTGAATATAGTTTAAATGATATATGTAGAATAGTATAAAGATGAGTGCTCATGATTGTTAGTAGAATAGATGTAAAAGTAGACGATGCATGCATGCGTTGTAGAAATAGATGCTTGTATAGTGAAGGGATATCATTAACAGAGTAATGCCGGCACCCTTCTTGGTTTGCTGTTCATCCGCGTGGGGAAACAGTTTGTGCATGTGCTGTCTGAGAACAGCATTGTCCGTGGATTAGGCGTTGCGAGTCCGACTCGTAATTCCAGCATACCGCGATCGAAACCCACTGCTGGCTGCGTGGATTTTGTTCATGGTATGGGGCGTCGCAGGTCGACCCAGCCTTTAAATGGGTACCAGGATGGCTGTCCTGTGAAAGTAAAGACGGCTGGTGTAATACTGACCACATTACTCACCTAGTGCCGATTGGTCTGTAAAAATATGGGTGCTTTTCCCATATGCCTGATGTGCCTAAGACATAAAAAAAAAGGGATCTTTACTTACTTTACTATCTAAGAACAACTGCTGCTGTGTTGTATGAGCTCATTAGCAGTAGAACAGTTAGGCAGTGTTTATTCAGTAATCCACAAGCCAAGTTTGCAATGAATAAAAAAAAGCATGTTGGTAGACCAAAGCATTGGAAAACCCCTAGAAGCTTATGCCACCTAGATTACAGTTAGTTAGTCAACAGATTATCCTCATTGCACATCAAACCACTCAGTCCATAAGTGCTCAATAAATCCTGCAGCGTGTAACGGCTAACGACACCAGTTCTGTGGTGGTTTATTCTTCTTCTTTGACTACCCGAATAGTGTTCTTGTTTGGCGACACCCCGTTTAACATGTTGTTCTTGCAGTCTGACCATTGTTGCAGATTCACAGTTCTCAGTTGGTTCACGCAAACGTCTTAACTCCCTTAGAGCATTTAGTAAATCAGCCTGGTCCATGGCTTGTCCGGCTTTCCCAGTAGCCTTACCTGCAAGTCTATCAGCTTGCTCATTTCCTTGTACCCCCATGTGTCCTGGCACATGGGGAAACTAACCCTTGTCAGCCGTGATTTCTGTAGAGCCACCAACCACTGATTACAGGAATCAATACAAATATCCACAGACCGGCTACCCAGCAAGCATGGAATCTAACATCATTGCAAGATACCTACTGTTAGTCCACACATGTATACATGTAGTGCTAAACATTTCTTGGATAACCAAAAGCAATAGTCTAGGAAATTTAAAATTCAGAAAAAGACAGTCATAATTTTGACAGCAATATTATGAAAACATAACAACTTGGACATTTTATGACAAATAGAAAGTTTCAATATCAAGATAACAACATCAAAGTAAATGGGACAAACCTCAAGCAAGATGATATGTTTAACTACTTGGGTACTCTGAAAACATCAGATGGAAAATGTATTACAGAAGTTGAATATAGAATAGCTGAAGCAAAGGCAGCATTTTACACAATAAAGAATATATTATGCAGTCTTTTTTTGTCAGTTGAGACAGAAAAAGAATTCTAATAAAGCCATATAAATCTTATCTTGTATGTGGAATTGAATTATAGACAATTAGTACATTAGTGAATTATTATCGTTATGTTGGTAGAAACATCGTGAAGATACAAACACTTTGACATGTGAACTGATCGCTGTTTTGGTATAAATGTCATGAAGATACAGATCTGGAAACACTGCGACATACAAACTGATCACTGTTTTGGTAGACAAATCTGGAAGATTCAGATCTAAGGCGTGTATGGCTGATGGTATCTCTTGGCAACAACGTTCTCTTCTGTAGCTATACAAGTCTGTTGAAATAAGGAGTACAATATTTTCTTAACATGTATAATTATTACTTGACCTCTCTGGTAACATTACGCGGTGATTTGTGTGTGCGTGCGTGTGGGGGTCGGTGGGGACGGGGGTCTGGCGGTACGCAACGGGATGTAGTACCGGCACCTATATTTAGGCATATTCACTTTTTATGCTGCTGTAATATACGTTTTGTGGGAAGTACAGATACCCTTGTTAAATACTTTATTGTGAACACCGGCACACCCCCCCCCCCCCCACCCCTCTTGGAAAAACAAAAAGCCCTGGTAATGTTTATCAATAAATCGCCGAGCACCCATTGTCCAGGACCCGAGCAAAGCAGAAACAAATAAACGGTAGGACAGAATCATGAATGCGGAGCTTCACCATCATGTAGCAAGTTTTTCGCAGAACGTCGCTCTCCACACAGTCCGCCTGAAGGAAACCCAGTCTCTGGCCAGATCTCACGGCTTATGCACTTTCCTACCCACGCTGTCACGTATATCTTGTTCCCATCTTTGCGCTGGTCGATCCCTTTTCTGTTTCATGACACCATGTTTTCTGCTACTATTGTTTTTCCTAATCTATAGTGGCACTTGTTTGACATTGTCCGTATGTTTCGGTTTCTGAGACAAGCTACTGTTTACTAGCCAGTCTTCCTTGCTGTTAATTCGGATCTTTTAGGGTGTCCCTATTTATTTTCCCTATTAAATAATGGATTAGATTTCTAAGCGAATGCATCTTTCCCATTGCTTTATACATTTGTGAGACCTGGACACTTACTAAAGCTGAACAGCGAATAAATGCCCTTGGACACAAATGTTATAGACGGGTTCTAAGAATATCCTATGTAAAGAAAAGAACAAATGTATCCATACTTCAAGAACTGAAAACTGAGGAAGGTTGGCTTTTAAAGACGATATCTTGAAACGTCACGAAAGTTTGGAGAGAACAATAATAGAGGGGTGTATGCCTGAGAAGAGAGAAAGAGGAAGGCAAAAGAGAAGATGGGTGCAGGATGTGGCGATGATCTCCAGATGGGTGTATCAGACGCGAGACATCTTGCTTGTGATCTAGAAGTTTTCTGGAGGGTTGTTATGGAAGCAAGATTCTGCAAGGCACATCCTAATGGGAGCAAGGTTATGCAAGGGACATCGTCATGGAAGCAAGGTTCTGCAAGGGACAACATCCTAATGGGAGCAAGGCTCTGCAAGGGACAACATCCTAATGGGAGCAAGGTTCTGCAAGGGACATCCTAATGGGAGCAAGGTTCTGCAAGAGAAACCCTAATGGGAGGAAGGGTCTACAAGAGATATCCTAATGAGAGCAAGGTTCTGTAAAGGACTTGCTCCTGACTGACTGCATTTAATTACGTCTTTGTCCATGGTATTATTAGAAACTTTCTAGAATTTTCAGTTCAGAAGTCTACATTTTCTTCCCCAATGACTGCTAGGTTATAAAGAGTTCAGGGATGGATGAAAGGATGACTTGCACGGTTATGTTGATTTTAAGCGAGGAAGAATTGTGCAGTTCGTCGATCCAACTCTCTGGCACAAGTCCATCTAAGTCCAGTGGCAGGGCGGATCAACACGTTTGCATGTTGCTGTATGGAAGATGCATGCTGTCAACATGTGAACCTTGATTTCATTGCTGGTGCTTAACTTTTTACTTTTAATGCCGTTTCTTTGCATTGCTCTTGCCATTCCCCTTTTGATTTTTGTTGAAATGTTAAACATAATCATGAATGCGAAGCTTCATCTTCAATGCGGGGCTTGTGAAGAGAAAATAAAAACGTTCAACTCGTTCAGTACTTACCATGCATTTGCAGGCTTCAACTGACAAGAGCTATTGTTCTAAACACCCTGTAACTCACCCAGTCGCTTACCCACTGTGCCCTAATTCAAACTTGAGTGCTGTCTGTCCCATAATTTTATTACTGTAACTCCTCAGAGTTATCCCACACAGTATGCGAAGAGGACAGAGATGTCAATTACCATCCTCGTGTGGGTTCCGGGATCCCATTGGAAAGGGAATGAGTGAAAGTTTGTGAAAGGCGGAAAATAGACTGTCTGCTCTTCTAACAAGCATGTCGTAAAAGTCGACTCATCAGGGGTGTTTCTTTCGAGGTCGGAGTGAATCGGTCTGATATTTTCTATCTTCTCTTACCCCACCAGGAATCACACAAGCGATAAACACCCGATGACACAAAGTGCCATCATGTGGATGAAGATCACCCGTGGAGAGGTCCCAAAAACCACGTTCAGCTATTAGACCATACTTATGGCCGGGCTATATTGCGGCCCCTGGCAAGAGCCAGAGTAAAGCTTCAAAAAACGAAAAATTGCATCCCTCAAAGGGATGACAAGATTAATACGCACATGAATCTGTCCGAGAGGCGAGGAACCAACAGAATAAGCAAGAACTGCAAAACTGATGTGCACTCAAAAATCAAGTTCTGCAAAAAGACTAAAGACCAGAAGTGGGCGAACAATTATAACCTTCCGGCAGAGTTTACAGCCTGTGAACGCGAAGAAAGAGAAAAACAATTACCAAGCACATGCGTCCATCTTCCAGAACTTTGCGCTCAAAGCGGGATGGAGCGTGGCTTTTGTTCAGTGGTTCTTGTGTTTCTATTAGTACGTCATCTTCGATTGTGAATGTGGTCTGAAATTACAGACATAAAGTTACACTACGAGTAACTGACAAAACACACCACCCCAGTACAGTAATTAAATATACACGTAACAGATTGTGTTTGTGTTCAAACACTTCTTCTTCGTCCAAGTGTTAACCGGCTGGAAACTTCGCCCAAGAGTTAACCGGCTGGAAACTTCGTCCATGTGTTAACCGGCTGGAAACTTCGTCCAAGTGTTAACCGGCTGGAAACTTCGTCCAAGTGTTAACCGGCTGGAAACTTCGTCCAAGTGTTAACCGGCTGGAAACTTCGTCAAAGTGTTAACCGGCTGGAAACTTCGTCCAAGTGTTAACCGGCTGGAAACTTCGTCCAAGTGTTAACCGGCTGGAAACTTCAGCGGAAAGTCCACTCCTGGACTTTGGTCGTCATTCAAAACTTGAATTTCGCTTGCACATCCGTTTTACAGATCATGGTTAGTTGTATGCAGACTGTGTTTGCCTTGGACCTCAGACATATGCACTTCGACACTAAAGGAACCACCCCTGATTAGTCGCATCCTCTGACATGCTTGTTGGGGGAGAGGCAAGGGGAGGGGCAGTTAGTGAATCTAGTTTGAGTAAAGATACGGTTAAACATATAGACACATAATAGACAGACAGATACATAGAGGCAGTATGGATCTAAGAACATGAAGATGAGGAAGATTTAAGAGCAGCAAAACAAGAGGAAACGGTTTGTGAGATAATGATGATACTGAAGAAGAAAAAAAAAAGAAGACGAAGAGAGAAAAAATAAGAGGAAAGAAGATAATCTTTATTACCATTATTAGTTACATTGCCGTTACACGTAGGCGCTCATGCTTCGCCATCTCATAATATCACCAGAATCACAGGTCAGGCCAGTGCTCTTGTCCGATCAACATGATCAAGCCATGCAGGTATGTATCCCTGTGCCTTCCCCTGGCTCTCTGTCCACCAGTCTTACCAGAATCGTCACTAAGTTTTCGATCTATTCCATGGGACAGATAACAACAACAACAGTATAGAATTATATAAACATTAAGGTTAGGAAAAGGACGAAAAACCCTGTACCAGAACATATCTTCCATCTAAAGTGTTGTCCTTAAACGGTTCCCCAATCTTGAACACGACCTTGGAGTTTTTGAAAGTCGATGTGATATGAAGTGTCCAGGTATCGCCCTCTCTGCTGATCTCCTCATAGTTGGTCAATGTTTTCGCCACTTTTCGCAAAATAATGTTTACTTCTGAAAAAGCAACGAATGTATTTGATTTAAATTTTGAAGAATGCTGGTTGGTGATTTAAAGCGCATGAATAAAATGCATCAATACAATAGAAATGAATGAATAAATAAATAAATAGTCGTCACTGCAATCCCCCGTGTCTTTTGGAGACTGGAAAAGTTACGGAAGGCGGACGAAAGGAATGGCATAGTAAGTTCATGTGGTACCCAGTGCGAAAACTGTGTGTCACCACTCAAGTAGTTGGGTGAATAAATTCTGTTTTCACATTTTGAAAAAAAAAAAAGTGTCACCACTTCCCACACGTATTTTTTTTTTAATGTTTAAAACACATATTTTAGTTACAACCCCTAATGCGTTTGAGGTTTGAGGTTTCAACAATGAATCAACATCATGGCACAGGATAGTAACCCATTAGTGCTCCGTTCTTCTTCTAACTCACTCATGTGAGTCCTAGTAAGCCCAGCCCTGTGCACAGTCTCTGTAGCACCGGCGAGGATCCTGAAATAGTTTGGGTATATTTTTAACTCCAAATTTTGCACGGGCAGCGCCGTTATACTACTCTTTACGATTTCCAACTGCCAAGAGATTATTTACATGCGCAACAATGCAAACGGGCGTCCGATCTCACAACCCAAAGACAAGGGGGAAATACTAGAAGTCCAAGTCCACGTGACAAAAAATTCCAGCCTTTACCGGAGATTAAAACCGGAACCTCTAGCACTCGAAGCGGACACCATGCCATGAGACCAGGCAGTCCCACCCCCCCCCCCCAGCCTGCCCCTCAGTGACACCCACTGAGACCCACAACTCCCGCATACCCCTACCTACGCCCCTGCTAAGATTCGCACCCTCAATTTAATTAAATTTAAAGGAAATAATTGAGAAAAAAAAATGTAAAGAGGACTCACACATACATATTATTATTAACACGCTTAATGGAGGTGATGGCGGTGACACAAGCTTGCGTGTGGCTAGAATCACATGACTGTTACCGCGTGTGTGTGCTGAGCGATTCTTTGAGCATGATTCGGCGTATCGATGTAGACTGTTTATGCAGACAGTTGACCGAGCCATTGCAAAACTCTCCCGTGTGTGCAGTTACCTTCATATTCGTCCAAGGGTATGCAGGAGTTGTTGGTAATGAGAGAGCTGATAGACTGACAGACGCTGCATTAATTGAAGATGGCCGGTCCATGGATCATGCAGGTATTGTCATTGCCCTTAGAGAGATAGGACGTTCTGAGAATTTTGGAAGCAACGTGTCCACATCACTGCTAAGAATACGAAAAAATTTTTCGATCCTAGCGCTGTTCTTCTTAAGACATTATTTTTTGTTATTTGAAGCCCCACTCTGGCTTTTGCCAGGGGCCGCAATATAGGCAGGTCATCATTATGGCCAAATGTCTGAACGCGGTTTCTGGGACCTCTCCACGGTGATCCTCATCCACATGGTGGCACTTTGTGTCATCGGGTGTTTATCGCTTGTGTGATGTCCTGGTGGGGTAAAAAACCAATCCAATACTGAGAGTAAAGATCGGCAAAGCCAAGCATGAGAAGCACTTCGGACGCACACGAAGTCTTGTTAACCAACATATACTGACACTATTAACCGCGTGACGCTGATACAAATCTGGAGAGAGCCATCTGAGCGACTATGGAAGTGTCCAGAGTACTGTGAAGATAAACTAAAACATAACGTAGCCAAAGAAATCCACATACTCATGGCTTTCATATATTCCTCCAAGTTGTCTGAATTCTCAAGCTTCCAGTGTCCAAGTAGCTTGTCCACCATTGTTGATCTGTGAGCAGAATAAAAGTTAAGGTACCTCAGGGTGTGTTGAAAGGTTTATTGGAAATTTCCGTGGAAGTAAAGGGAGCCGTTTTGATATATGTCACATCATTAATTGAGTCTAAAGTATAGAGCTAATAATGTCTACCCTATTCTAGACAACCAAATTAAACAGTACACTATACTGTCTAGTTTAATATATGTTGGGGGTTAAGTTACATAGCATACAATTCTGCCTACCGTGATTAAGCTTAGATAGGTCGGTATGTAAGTAGGTAGGTAGTTATACCCCACTAGGACATCAAACAAGCGATAAACACCCGGTGACACAAAGTGCCACCATGTGGATGAGGATCACCCATGGAGAGGTCCCAGAAACCACTTTAAGCCGTATACTTATATTTATGGCCCGGCTATTTTCAGGGCCCCCGGCAGAAGCCAGGGTGAGGCTTCAAAAAAAAAAAATATGTTTATCCCACAAGGAGACGACTTGTATAAATCGTTAAGCTACGGATTTATTTAAACAGTGCAAAGTTCCGTCTTATTTAAGTTGAGGATTCGATTATTAAATATACATGTTTGCATTGTTTCATTTTATTTGTGTGGGTAAAGGGTTTCCTTTGTGGGGGTAAACAAATAAATACATTTGTATTGACTCGAAACTCTTAACAAGCATGCAGTAAAAGTCGACTAATTATAAGTGTCTCCTCCGAATTCAGAGTGCATCTTAGTCAGTTGTAAGGAACCAACAGTCTGCATATAAATAAGCCAGATATATGAAACGGATGTCTTGCCACAAACTTGAGTTCTGGAACAAGACCACAGTCTAGAAGTGGACGAACAGCAAGCATTTTCCGCTGGAGTTTAAGGCCTGTGAAAGTTAAGAAGAAGAAGAAGAAGAAGAAGAAGAAGAAGAAGAAGAAGAAGAAGAAGAAGAAGAAGAAGAAGAAGAAGAAGAAGAAGAAGAAGAAGAAGAAGAAGAAGGAGGAGGAGGAGGAGGAGGAAGAGGGAGATGAATGGTCGTAGACTCCGAGGCAGACCAAGAAGACGCTGGAGTCATAATGTCCAGACAGACATGCAAACACTTGGTGTCACCAGTATGCTAAAAAATAGTGATGACAAAAGATGCCCGTACTGTGTACCGTTGCGTACCGCAAGGAAAAAAAAAGGCCATACGAGGCACTGTTTTGACTACTGCAGCGTGTGATGCCAACTGCGATAATTAGATGGGAAGATGTGGTGCTTCCACATCCCATACCATTAGAAAGCAATGTAGTATAAGCTGCTGTCTCTTGTGAACACACAGACGAAAATTGTGGTACGTATATTCATCTACACGATGTTACACATTGTGAATTTAGAGCAGAAATTATGCTATATTTTGTAAAGATGAGAACTTCCAGAGACATATGTTTCTGAATGGTGGTACCATTAATTGGCTGCATTCAGTAACGGTTTGTTAGATTTTGTGAATTCTTAAAACAGGCGTGCGTGAAATTTAACAATCTACTCCTTCTTCTTGTTCACCGGCTGTCAATTCTGGCGGAAACTTCTGGTTTTTCATTCATTTAGTCTTCTGGCTTTGTACCAGTTACTATCAACTCAGGTGCCCTAAAATAATATCTAGTCATTCCTGTGTGGGATGCAGTTTTTCGTTATTTGAAGCCCTACTTTGGCCGCAATATAGCACGGCCATCAATTTGGTCTAATGGCTGAACGCGGTTTCTGGTACCTCTCCACGAGTGATCCTCATCCACATGGTGGCACTTTGTGTCATCGGATGTTTATCGCTTGTGTGATGTCCTGGTGGGGTAAAAGAAGATAGATAGATAGATAGATAGATAGATAGATAGATAGATAGATAGATAGATAGATAGATAGATAGATAGATAGATAGATAGATAGATAGATAGATAGATAGATAGATAGATAGATAGATAGATAGATAGATAGATAGATAGATAGATAGATAGATAGATAGATAGATAGATAGATTAGATAGATAGATAGATAGATAGATAGATAGATAGATAGATAGATAGATAGATAGATAGATAGATAGATAGATAGATAGATAGATAGATAGATAGATAGATAGATAGATAGATAGATAGATAGATAGATAGATAGATAGATAGATAGATAGATAGATAGATAGATAGATAGATAGATAGATAGATAGATAGATAGATAGATAGATAGATAGATAGATAGATAGATAGATAGATAGATAGATAGATAGATAGATAGATAGATAGATAGATAGATAGATAGATAGATAGATAGATAGATAGATAGATAGATAGATAGATAGATAGATAGAATAGATAGATAGATAGATAGATAGATAGATAGATAGATAGATAGATAGATAGATAGATAGATAGATAGATAGATAGATAGATAGATAGATAGATAGATAGATAGATAGATAGATAGATAGATAGATAGATAGATAGATAGATAGATAGATAGATAGACTCCGGTGCCTTGCTGTCCCTATTGCTCGATCCTTGAAAGGGTTAAAAGATCAAAGTCGAGAGGATTTACTTCATAGCGCAGGATTTATCATATGTGGCTCGATCTTTCTTCACCCAACAGAGAGCACAGCACAAAGCACGAACACAGGGGTCTTCGTAAGAACTGCATTCGTGAACGGGAACGTCCTAAAACCATTATGGGCTCCTGGGAAACCAGTGTGCAAGGGCCCCTACGATATCCATTCACAGGAATGACATGTAAGTGGTCAGTAATATTCAACACATTTTTATTTTACTAGCATTTCAAAGGGTAAAACAAAAGATAATTCCCCCATTTTACACACCGGTTCACACTAGCTCGCTTATGATTGGTCGACCTTCAGCCCACCTCACTACTGATTGGTCGGCCTGGAGCCATCCGACTTTCACACATTGTGGCGGGGCTGTTCCGCAATATAGACCATATCGCGTGATGTATAGTTAGAAACTGGGTCTAACACACAACCCCCCTAGAGAGAGACGAAACCTATATCACAGGCAGTCTCTTTCTCGGAATAAAGACGTTAATGCAGCGCAACAATATACCGCCAAACCCATAATCTCGACCACGGCAGACTAGTCCAACAACTTATCAATGAAATTAACCTACTTTTAGTGGGTAGACTAACGTTTTTATAACCAATTGTGTTAAAACCTAAAAGAAATTACAGTATACCAACTTCTTATTATAACAAGAAGTTGCTGTATTTATTTTCACAGAATTACTGGGAGTGATGGGGTGGGGTATGGATGGGGGGGGGGGGGGGGAGTGTGGTTGGGAGATAGCTTCTTGTTGTTTATTTATAGATGCTTATAAAAAAGCTTTTATTTATTTTGACTAGATTGTCTTGGTCGCCGTTTGCGTTCGATTAAAAGAAAGAAAAAAAATTCCGCATTGGTAGGGCCTCACGTGAAAAAGCATCAACAGGAAAGCTTGAGGGGACGAAAGGCAGAGGGACACCAAGAGCAATGATGAATGACAGCTGAACAACACGGGTGCTAAACAAATTCTGTATTAGCGTCATAGTCGAGTCTGAAGACTGTGTTTAGACATGACTGCCTACGTCATAGGGCATACGCAATACGAAAGAAAATGATTTCGCACGATATATAATGATTTTTTCTCAGAATATTCACGACTAAAATGACACCAAAGACACATATCTATAGCTGGAAGTCGTAAAACCATTTGTCGGCTGTTTGCGGTTTTACTAGACAGAAGTAGTTCCGTAGATTACCACTGCTTCCTAAAGGATACGACGCTTATACCATTGT